TATGGAATACGGTGGTGTGGTTCATGCTAATGAACCTTTTTGTTCAGATTGTGAATGCAACTGCACAAAGGTATCTTAAAAAACAGCAAGAGAAGGACATAGCTTTTTTGATGAACAAGTCATCAAAACATTCTGATGACACTGATAATTCATCTGGATGAAATTTAAAATTCAATTTTCCTCTTTTTTATTACGATTAGGAGTAGAGTTTAGTGTCAGCTATTCGTCAACATTGAAGCCCCTGGTAGTTTATGCATCTGTGCAAGTCCCCATTTGATACTTCAGGAGAAAACAGAGGTAGCATGATCATTTGTTCTGTGTAATCTGAGACTGAGGGAGGTAGATATATTTAAGGGGAAATCATAAGCCATTGTTAACGGTTTGAGGTCTCAATTTTAAACTCTGTGATGTTTTTTGACACAGCAAGCCAAATTATTCTGCTTCTTGTGGATGATATTATTTACTTGAAAATATTTGATTTGTGCACATAATTAAACTAAATTTAAAATGAGGATGGTAAACTTCATCTTCTCTTCACAATTCCTTCCCCCATAATCCTGATTTGTCCCAAGTAGAAACCTTTGAGGCGCAGCTGAAGTTTGGTGGTTGTGGATGAGGTGCAAATAGTGGTGGTGAGATGGAGGTAAAGGTGGTGAGTTGTGAATTTGAGATGACGGTGGCAATTTGGAAGGTGCCAATGGTGGTGGAGTGAGGTGGAATGATGTGACAAGAGTGATTGTGATCAGTTAATTGGATAATTGTGATTTGTTTATGTAATTTGTGACTAAAAATAATTTGTATCCTATTAAATGTGTGATTTAAGATTAAAATAAGTTGTTGTGCTCCATAAATTGTGTCTTTGCGACTGTACTTGTATGATTTGTAATTAGTATGGGATCGTGATCATAAATTTTGTATTATTATAAATGTGACATATTTGATTTAATTATAGGTCACAATACTTTATCTGATATCACAAAATTTGATTACTTGATTTTTTAAAGAAAATTGACAAGTTTATTAGACAAATCCGTCTTTTCGAATTTGTCATTTTTAGACAAGTGCGTCTCTTCAATTATAGACAGACTCTAATAGACATATTCGAATTTGTCATTTTTAGACAAGTGCGTCTCTTCAATTATAGACAGACTCTAATAGTTATGTCTATTATGGAGTCTTTGTGTACATATATCTTTTCAAAATAAGGTCTCCACATTCTGCAGTGTGTGTAGTTCGTATCGATTCATCCCTACATTCTAAAACTTCTGTACTTTAGTCCAAAATAATTTCTATATGGATTGAGTTCACTTTTCTTAATGAAGAGAGTTCTCTGTGTCATTTAGTTCGATGTTTTCATAATTTGAAATACTTCTATCACAAGAAGTGATAATTGTATCTTGAGAGACGTGTGCTGATAAGCAATTTCAACTTATGGAGAAATGTTTCGTCTTTTGACTCGATTGAATTTCTTTTTTCTACACTTCTAGTTCTACATTCTGTAAGTCAAAACTGTCTAAAATTCTGCTTATGAAAAAATTTAAAGTAGAATATGTTTATGGGTCAATTTAACCAACAGATATAGTTGTATATAGGATTCTTTGGTCATGGGTAGAATAAATTTCACTAGTATTTGACAAAAACTAAATTTGGTGACATACAAATTATAATTTTTTTTTCCTGTTTTAATCATGTTTAATCTAAAAATAAGACATGATAATGAAAACTCAATTTACGTAGTAGAATAAGAAGATGAGTTCACGATACTAAATTTGAGAGTGATAATGAAAAAAACGAGATGGATTAAATTTCAGTAATAATCTTGTGATGAAATAGACATGTCTTGAAGATACAGACCACTTGCACATGAATAGTAATATCCTATTAAAGGTTCCATGAAAATGGATTTGGATTTAAGCCTCTCCTCGCAATTTAGGTGGAAAGCAAAGGACTCCTCCTATTCTATCTCGACCAAGTCTTTGGGTGAATTGGATCTCGACCAAGTCTTTGGGTGAATTGGATTGCTACACAAAATTTTCTAGTGACATTTTAGTATGAGTTGTTAATGTAGATTTTGAAATAATCACGAGAAATAAAATTTTGTGGAGAAACTTTTTTCATGTGAATTGAACACCTTAGCTTTTCATCCCATTGGCGTTGGTCTTCGATGGATAATTTCTTATTAAGTTGTCCACCTAATGCAAAATCTTTTGAAACTGATATGATAAGATGTCGAGAGATTACAATCATGATTAAACAAGTTCAATCAAACCAATTAATAAATTAAGGGCTAGTTTGAACCACATTATTTTAAAAAATGCATTATTAAACAGTGATTTGATATCATTTCAACTACACATTCTTCAATAAAATAATATTACACGTAAATCAAAAAAATTTCCTTATTTTTTAACCACACATTTTCCATCAATACACTATTCAAGAATGTATTATTACCAAAATAATGTGGTTCAAACACCCCCTAAAAAGTAAAAACCTTTGACCTAAGTATCATATGATTTGGTGGCTCTAGTATATTGGATTGCATTCTTAGTGATCGAGAGAGTCAAACTCGATTTTGTTGCTTTACCATGAAAGTATATGAGAAAAAATGTCACGACAAAAAACACGAGTGAATGAATGACTCAGCGGAATAGATGATGTAATACAACTTGATTGTTGTGAAGATCAAAACAATGTTTACTCAATATTTAAGAATATAATTTATATCTCTTTCCCATTATAGAAATGATTGTTATTTAAAATTTCTTCCACGTGATAAATATGATATTAATTCCTATTGACCACGTGAATTGGTCCCTCCACGTGACCAATAATGAGCTATTTCACGTGTCCCTCTCTGCATGCAATAACAAACGGTGAGGCGTATATGGCTGGTACCAACGGTTGTGGTGGCGACCACATACATCATGATGATCAAGTCAGTCGATGGTCGTGGTGACGATGGTGCTAGAATGTGCGATACTCAAAAGGGGAGGAGAAAATATCTTTACTTGGCCATGGAATTCTTACCTTATTCATGGCCAAACCCTTGGTATTTATAGGTAAAGTGCACCGTTAGATGCATGACACGTGTAATCATTGGACGTGAGGCATCTGCACGGAGGCGTTCATCAATCGCTTCTTAGGTGGGCAGACAATTATTTTTTTTTTATTCTGATATGGCAAAAACGACACATCAATCATTCCTCAAGATTTATAGAAGATCTTGGCTTAGGGATGTCAACGAGTTGAGCTGAAACTTGAGGTTCGAGCTCGGCTCGATTAAAATTGTTGAGCTTTTTTTCGGGCCCAAGTCGGGCCGAGCAAAAGCTAGCCCGTTTCTCTCTCTCTTTTTTTAAGCTGTTGTATATATATATTTAGGGTTACAATATTTTATGGAAATTTTATAAATAACAATTGACTCCAGCAGCTTCCACGATCTTTTATGGTAGCAAAGAATGAGCTTTCATGATAATTGAGAAAATCAAAGCGGGGCCAGCGATTTAAGAGTAGTGAATCTTTGCATTCCCCAGGGACCTCGACTAATAGATTATTTCCACTTGCGATCTTTTTCTCTTTGTGTTATTGAGAAATTCATGGGGGAGGGGTCATCGATTTATGAGTAGTAGAATTTTAGAATTTTTGCATTCCTCCAAGAGGAAGAAACTTATAATATCGTAGCCATTCATAGTTATTTTGGCCGATTATGAACTAGAATTTCTATTTGTAGTCTATGTTTTTCACACTAGTTTTCGTTAAGTACTTACTAGGAAAAGAAATAATCAACAAATTGAACCTCGAACACGAATAATTTGTTCTTGAATCTCACACTAATATATAACAGTGAATCATCTTTATCACTGACGTTGTAAATTTAGCAAATAATCAACAAATTGAACTCATAGAAATTAGATCCCAAGCATAAAGAAAATATATATATATATATATATATACTCTAGGTGCATTTGCTACAATTTTACTGGAAGGAGTCACTAATACTGGGAGTTAAATATGTCAAACAGAATGACTACTATCGCCATGACCCATAATATCACAAGATCCAAATGGTTTCAAGTTCTGGATCATGTGAATTACAAAAGAAAAATCAATAGAAAATTCAAAGATGCTAGGTGATAGGGATCCTAAAATATATATTTTGAAGAGTTAATTTCAACAATAATCTTTCAGATGTTACTTCAATTTAAATTTGTTGTAGTCTTATATTTTGAGACTCTTTAATTTTGATTTCTAAATTGAGCTTCCAACTTAAGTTAGATTAGGTGAAAAAAAAAAAAAAAAAACTATATAGCCATTGTTTAGTTTAGATAAAAATCAGATTTTTCTTACATTTCGATAAAAGTAGATAAATTTTATGGTTGAAAAATTGTGAATTACATAAAATATATGATAAAAATCAATTGCTAATTTTGATGTAGATTTTAATTCAATTTTCCAGCTATTTTTGATGTACACCGATACCCTTATTGAGTAGACCACATTTTTCTCTCTAATTTCTTCCAATTTCTCCATTTTTAGACGATAAGAGTGCCATGACCAACCAAGCCTCGTTATACTCAAACTTATCATGGTTGTTCACAATATGAGACATCTCTATATCTATATTTAATGGGGACTGTTCCTCTTATCAAGATTTTTGACAAATACTTTTGACAATTGAACCTCTCCCCAACATTAAAGACCCGTCTATCCACACTATACACCCGTAGCACCTACCTAAATAATCTCTTTCAAAAATATGACTGAATAAGAGTATCCATCCTGCAGCTTTCTAGTTTCACATAATTTTCTAGTTTTCTGTGATAAACAATTTTTATTTTTATTTATTATTATTATTATTATTATTTTAAAGTTTTTGACATGATTATATAAAAAATATATATGGTTGGAGCCTAGGAGGAACCTCCCCTATATATGTGGACCTTCCAAATTAAAATTTTCGATTTGGAAATTTTAAGGGATTTAATTTTATATATATATGTATTGACACCATAGTTAGTTGTAATATAGTTGGCACAACTTTTAGTTGGCTTGTTATACAGTTGGCACAGCTTTTAGTTTGCTATTTATAAGTCTTGTAGATGTACATACAATTCATTGACTCAAATGAGAAATTACTTTTCTTCCCCAATATGGTATCAGAGCCCTTCCGTGGATTTCAAGATTGATTTGTTCAAATGAGTCACCATTTTGAAGGGGATTGTTAAGGAATGTGTTATCCCACATCGATTTAATACTGAAATAAATACTAATTTATAAAGATTTTGAATTTTTCCACCTTATTAAGATGGACCCCAAGTTTTAATATATATATATATATATATGTGTGTGTGTGTGTGTGTGTGTGTGTGTGTGAGAGAGAGAGAGAGAGAGAGAGGGGGGGGTTCATCCTACCATATAACATTTTTTCATATAATCATGTAAAAAATTTTGAAGGGGGGACGTCTGTATCAAATATCAGACAAATGATGTTTGGTGCAAGAATTTTTTATATTTTAAGTACTGTTCCAAAATTATAAAATTCAATAAAAGTGGATTTTGAATGAGAATCAAATAAACGTTTAATGTTTAAGATAATATTCCTATTCACCCGTTTCATCAATTTTCGTCGTTAACATAAACATTTCCATAATTAAGACAGTAGCTGTCACCTTAATATGGGGATTATTAACGCCCATTATCTCACAAACTAAATGAGGGAAAAAAAAAATCTTGGCTAGAAGCCTAAGATACTCTATTAATGGTCCCAAGCTTTACGAATCGTATAAAAAATAAATAAATAAATAAATGAATAAGATGTGCCGGGTTGGTAAGTAGCAAAGTGGTAGCTCTTTCATTATCTTCCTCAAAGCACAGTCATCTATGCCAACCACCCCTCTTTTATTCTTTACTAACTTCTTTATTCCACTTAATCATCTGCCATTTTTGGCATTCCTCACTCACTCAACTCCGGCAATGAAGCTCAATTTTCGAGGAACTCTATGCCATACTATAATCCATCTAATGATCAAGTTTGTTGTGTGAGCAAAATGCGAGAATGATAACCCTACAAGAAGAGAAAATCGTTATGTATAACCTTGTAAATGATTATTATATCTTTTATTACTAAAACAAACGATGATTACCTCATAACTAGCGTAAATGAATCAATATTATACAAACTACATATATAGAACCAAATACAATTAATATCTAGATGTTAATAGCTTGTACAACTCGAGAGGCGAATAAATTATTAAAATTCATTGCAAAAATTCTCATTCTGACGTTCAACTTGCATTGAGGAGTCTTTATGTTGTTTATAGCCTAGGTCCTTCTCTTGGATTGAGACATGATTTAGTGCATGTTAACTTAGTTTTTATACGATATAGAAAGTAAAAAAATAATGTAATGCTTTGTGATAAATCATTATTATGGTCGAAAAGAAGTTTTGCTAAAACATGAAAAATCCAAATCCGACTAATTATTTGCATAACTATAAAAATCCTAAGAAAAAATATTAATTATATAATATCTCGCACTATGATTTATATCATTCTATGATTAATTTACAACCTAAACAATTCCTAGGAAAAAGTTAAAATATTTTGCACTATGACAGATAATGCCGATCATTATATGATTAATTTACAACCTAAATAATCACAAGATAATATTAAATTAAACAAACTAAACGTGCAATGATTTAATACTATACATACAATGTTACTAAATCAATAAGATCCAATCAAGTGCATTATTCTAAAAATATATTGCTAAAATTAAGCCAATCCACATGCTAATTGGACTTACATAGAAACATTCACCTCCCTTGTATAAGCAACTACTCAAATCACATTAAAGAATATACTAGTAACAAGTATAAACGCCAAAAGAGAAAAGAGACATAATTTTTGTCCAATCATAAAACTTTCTTTTATTTTTCCCACAAGATTTTGGTGAAGACAAAATAAAATTCACGAGCTTGTTTACAATTTGTATTCATAATTTCATATAGCACAGTTGCAGTCAAATAAGATAAGCTAAGAAGTATATTGTTTTTGAATTTTTCTCCAAATATCAAATTGGCAATGTTGAATCCAATGTAAAGCCAGCAGAAGTCACAACCTAGGATTTTGATTCTGTGTGTGTGTGTGTGTGTATTTATGTTTATGTGGGTTTGAGAGAGAGAGAGAGAGAGAGAGAGAGAGAAGCCGTCGAAGAGGGAAGACGAAAAAAAACAGTCAACCATTGATATACACGTGTATAGATGTGGGGTGGTTTTACACATAACCCTACACCCTATCCATTTCATATTCCTGTCTATATAACTCCTCCTATCCAATGCATTCTGCTCATACTCCATATCTCATTTCACTAAAATTCTTGGTTTTCTTCTTAACGATATTTCAGAAAGGAATACATATAATATAGGTATTCAGCCTGAGAATCAGCCATGGCAGGAGGAGGTTTTACCGCGTCGTCCGGCACGGGAGGCACAGATTTCGAGGCCAAGATTACTCCTATAGTCATAATCTCTTGTATAATGGCCGCCACAGGAGGACTCATGTTTGGCTATGATGTTGGTGTTTCAGGTTAACTTCTAATCTTTTTTCAGATTTTTTTTTTTTTTTTAATCTAAACTTAATAATTTTACTTTGTATTGACCTTTGATCTTCTTTCTCACACACACACACACACAGAGTAATATACAACATATCATTACTCTGTAATCTGTACACATATCAGAAAAATCTACATGTGCCTCAGGAAGAGTTTGGTACACCTACTTGTTTAGTAGGTTGATGTTCTATAAGATCGACCCAAGTGGTCGAGCCTGTGTCCTAATTCATGGTGGTCCGAACATTGTTTTCCCAAAACTCGTTTAGAAGTTGAGCATACATTTAGTATGGTCCAGTGCCATTAGTTTTCGTGTTAACGTACCAATTTATTCGTAGTCAACTAAAGAAAATAGTTCCTCTTTAATATGGCTCTGTCATTTTCTATTGTAATACAGGTGGTGTTACATCAATGGATGATTTCTTGAAAAAATTCTTCCCAGTGGTGTATAGGAGGACAAACGACTCTGGAATAAACAGTAATTACTGCAGATATGATAATCAAGGGCTTCAACTATTTACATCTTCGTTATATTTGGCTGGTTTAACAGCAACTTTCTTTGCTTCATACACAACAAGAAGGCTTGGCAGGAGATTAACTATGTTAATTGCTGGGGTTTTCTTCATAATTGGGGTCGTTTTTAATGCTGCAGCTCAAAATCTTGCTATGCTGATTATTGGCAGGATTTTACTCGGATGTGGTGTTGGTTTTGCTAATCAGGTAATTTCTAAATTCTGCTATTTACGTTTTTAGGGGATAAAATAATAAATTTTTAGACGAACAAAAGAAGGAAATACGAAACCTTGAATTTTTTTTTATTTTTATTTTTTGCCCATGTTGTGATTATAGTTGTTAGTGGATCAATATTTAAACTGCACTGTTAAAGTAGCAGCATATGATAAATTTTAGTTATTCGTATGTTGTAGATGAGCCTAATATATCATAATTGCTTTTACTATCTTACATTAATAGCTGGCATTTTTTATAATATTAAAAACACAGGTTATAATTAAATAAAAATATCTTACACAAAAATATAGAATAATACTATTTATTTAAAATTGGTGATGAATATTTCTTTACAATTAATTGGTATTAATGGATAAATTTATTTTTAATATACATATTTGTCACTTAATTTCCACTTAAAACAGGTGTTTATCTGGTAGATGTAATTGCCTTTTTTCGTATCTCCACATATATAGCTTTCGTTTTATAGTAGAAATGTGGTAACAAATAAAATTATATAATTACTTATCAAATATATCATAACTGCTTTTATTGTCTGTGCATTTATAGTTGTCATTTTATATAATAAAAGTGGAGTTATAAATAAAAGTTACTTTAATTTGTCATGGTGATTATTTTCAACGTCTACTAAAATTTGAGTAAAAATCCACGGCTTAAATCCAACCATGGGTGCAGAAATTCATTCGTTTTGATTCCTTTTGAATCTTGTACTAGCCTTGAGTCATTGTCACGTTCAACCTCTATCTTTTCACAATTTCCTAAATCACACGTGATTAAGATTTCAGCATAAAAAACAAAGCTGAGTATCAATCATCTTGGCTCCCACTTCGACTTATATTTGATGAAGATTAAAATATTATTATACTAACACGATCACACTTACAACAAATACTTAATCATTTTACGGTGGAAAAATGCCAATGATACATAAACTTGACTTTATATAGCTAGCAATCTTCTAGATTAGTTAAATTTTTTAAATTTTATTTTGTTCACTGAAGGTATTATTGATCGTACGTCTCCTCTTGAGTTTAATATTATTTTTGCGTTAATAAATAATCCACATGCTCGGTGGATGTATATACTTATTTTTATGCTGTAATTATTTGCTAGAAAGATGATAGATATTTTATATATTTTAAATTTCAATCTCTTACAATTATATCAAAATGTTAATGCTACACGTCTTCATCAGACTTTGCCAGTCAAATTTTATGAGCTTTCAAGTTTGAAATATTGTGTATGAATTTCAGGCCGTTCCTCTGTTCTTATCAGAGATTGCACCAACAAGAATACGTGGTGGCCTCAACATCTTATTTCAACTTAACGTCACCATTGGCATTCTTTTCGCCAACCTTGTCAATTACGGCACTGCAAAGTAAGTCTCATTCCCTTGTATTAATTTTCTTTGATTTTAATATTACGTTGAGATGGATAGTTAATGAAGGTGCTATATGAGTGTCAATTACATTGATTGTACTTTTTAATGTCATCACAACTAAATTATTTCATTTTTAGTCAAAGA